AGATAGTAGAAAAGCTGCAACAGGCAGGCTTTGCGCACCAGCCCGAGCCAGTGGGTGACATGGGCCATATCAGCGCCTTTGAGATGAATAGGGTGGCTTATGCGACCATGTTTGGGCCGACGACGGGAGACAGGCTGAGACTGGGAAGCACTAATCTTTGGATTAAGGTTGAGCAGGACTTCACAGTCTATGGAGACGAGTGCAAGTTTGGTGGCGGCAAGACGCTGCGTGAGGGCATGGGGCAGGCTACGGGCCGCCCAGACTCGGAATCACTCGACATGGTTGTGACCAATGCGCTCATCGTCGACTGGAGCGGCATTTACAAGGCTGACATCGGCGTCAAGCACGGCATGATCGTGGGTATTGGCAAGGCAGGCAACCCAGATGTCATGGACGGCGTGACGCCGAACATGGTGGTCGGCAGCTGCACAGATGTCGTCGCTGGAGAGAACAAGATCATCACAGCAGGCGGTATCGATACGCACATTCACTTCATCTGCCCGCAGCAGACATCGGAAGCGATTGCATCTGGTGTGACGACCATGTTGGGTGGTGGAGTTGGCCCCAGGTAAGCTTTTGTTTGAACCCCCTCTGAGCCCCTGAGCACCTTCATCTGACATGGACCTTCTCAGCGCTGGCACGAGCGCAACGACATGCACGCCTGGGAAGCACTATATGCGCCAAATGCTACAGGCATGCGATAGCCTTCCCCTGAACATTGGTATCACTGGCAAAGGAAATGACAGCGCACCAGAGGGTCTCCGCGATCAAGTTAACGCTGGCGCTTGTGGACTCAAACTACACGAAGATTGGGGTTCCACGCCTGCAGCAATCGATACCTGCCTGTCGGTTTGCGATGAACTCGATGTGCAGTGCCTCATTCATACGGATACGCTGAACGAATCTGGTTTCGTTGAGTCCACCATAGGCGCCTTCAAGAACCGGACCATTCACACATATCACACCGAAGGTGCAGGCGGCGGTCATGCGCCAGACATTATCTCCGTCGTCGAGCACCCCAATGTCCTGCCTTCGTCCACCAACCCCACGCGCCCCTACACTCGCAACACGCTTGATGAGCACCTCGACATGCTCATGGTCTGTCACCATCTCTCGAAGAACATCCCCGAGGACGTCGCATTTGCCGAGTCTCGTATCCGCGCCGAGACCATTGCTGCCGAAGATGTCCTCCACGACCTCGGCGCCATCAGCATGATGAGCTCCGATTCCCAGGCCATGGGCCGCTGCGGCGAGGTTATCTTGCGCACCTGGAACACGGCGCACAAGAATAAGGACCAGCGCGGCACCCTGCCCGAGGACGAGGGCACCGACGCAGACAACTTCCGCGTCAAGCGATACGTCAGCAAGTATACTGTCAACCCAGCCATCGCCCAGGGCTTCAGTCACCTCATCGGCAGCGTAGAGGTTGGCAAGCTGGCCGATCTCGTCGTCTGGGATCCCGCGTGGTTCGGAACCAAGCCGAGCCTTGTCATCAAGAGTGGGCTGATAGCATGGGCGCAAATGGTATACCTTCTTTTTTCTTTTTTACCCAAATCCTCCCATCTCGTGCCATGTTCCTGTTCTGACGCAATGTAGGGCGACCCCAATGCTTCCATTCCAACCATCCAACCCATCATCGGCCGCCCCATGTTCGCGCCGCTGGTCCCCGACACGTCCGTCCTCTTCGTCTCAGCCTCGTCCATTGAGTCGGGGGCCATCGCATCGTACGGCCTGCGCAGCCGCGTCGAGGCCGTACGTAACTGCCGCAACATTGGCAAAAAGGACATGCGCTACAACGACTCGATGCCGCGGATGCGCGTAGACCCGGAGCAGTACGTCGTCGAGGCCGACGGTGTCGTCTGCGAGGCCGAGCCGGCCGAGAGGTTGCCGCTGACGCAGCAGTTTTACGTGTACTGAACGTGGGCAGAACGAAAAGGAGCACAACGTGACATGTTGCCGGGATGTTTTTGGGTCAAATATATTTGTGAAAATGTCTAATTAGCCCAACTGGAGCCGCCAACGCCTCAAGACAATTAAGCATAGAATGGATGTGCAAAGGGTCATGTTCCAACTTTCCCTGACACATGTGTGTGTTTGTGAATCCGCAACGCCGCGCCTGCCAGAACCGGGTCGTCCCTCAATGCTGTGTCCCCCTTTGTCTTGATAGAATCATCATGTACGTATCAACATACGTACGTAGCTGCAGAACCGGCAGCCCGGATTATCCCGCACGCCCAGAGATCGAGTCTGAAGGAAAAGAAGAAGCAGGAAAGTCTCATCGCGGTCGAGCTCGATTGACGGGCTCCCTCCCTACTCCTCCTCAACCTCCTCATCCCACTGCTCCTTCTCGCGCTTGAGCAGCTGCGCCATCTCGGCAGGCTTAAAGATGGAGCTGCCCGGCTTCTCGACGCGCGGGACCTTGCCGAGGTTCTCGTCCTCAAAGACGGAGCCAATGGTGCCGATCCAGCGGGCGCGGCGCTCCATGAGCATCTTGGTGACGTCGCCGATGCCGGGGCGGGCCATGCCGGCGGCGGCGGCGGCAGCGGCGGCGCTGTTGCCGGCGGGCCGCTTGGCCTTTTTGCTCTTGCCCATGGTGCGGGTGCGCTTGAGGTAGGCGGCCTGGACCTGCGAGTCGAGGTCCTCGAGGATGGTCTGGTACTCCTGGTGCGCCATGCGCTCCTTGACGAGCTCGGTGAGGCGGGCCTTGCGCGCGCCGTTGATGAGCATCTGGCTGCGGAGGCGGTCCTGGAGGAGGCGCAGCCGGGCGGCGACCTCGTCGTCAAAGGCGCCGTCGTACTCGGCGTCGATGGGGCCCTCGTGCGGGAGGAAACCCATGTGCTTGAGCTCCTGCTTGATGCGCTCGTCGACCTGCGCGTAGTCGAGCTTGGGGTGCGTCGCCTTTTTCCACGACTCCGAGTTGGACTCCGCCATGAACGTTGCCGGTGGCATTGTCAGCGGCTTGTTGTCCTCGCCGCCGCCGCCGCCAAAGCTCATGCTGAGGTCGCCGTTCTCGCCGTTGGTGCTGCCGGCCATGCTCACGTCGCCGTTGGTCGTGCCGTTGACATTGGGCTTGTCCTCGTCGGTGGGCGGACGCGACTCGGGCCGCATGATGCTCACGAGGCGTGAGAGGAGCGGGCCGACAGACAGCTTGTCTGTCTCACCAACTTCGTCGTCCATGACGTCGATGGTCCCACGTGGCACGTTGGGCGCCAGCTTTTCCCGCTTCGATGGCGAGTCCACTTGCATGGCGCCGTCTTCTTCGGCCCAGATCTCCGTGTAGTGTCGCTTGCCGCGTTTGGGCATGTGGAAGGGGCGCCACGCGGTCGCCGCGTTCGCGCAGAAAGCCGAGGTCTTCCTCGGTGAAGGGGCGAAAGTATGGTTCAATGTACGCGCTGAAGGTGGAAAAACTGATCTGGTTCGACGGCTTGGCGTTGCTGAAATCCTTATCTGGGGGGTCGCCGGCAATGAGCTCCAGCTCGGCGAGGTCATGCTTGGGGTATACGGCGACTGAGTAAATCTCTTTCAGCTCGTCTTCCGACATGATGGCCGGTTTCGCTTCTCGAATCTCATATACTGTCGGGTCGGGGAATGTGGAGGGGTCGTCGCCAAAGGTGTGCGCGGCGGGCAGATCACGGCGCGGCGGGGCTCCCTCGTCCTCGGAGCTCGATTCTTCCTCCTCCTCTTCGTCCTCGACGGCCTCGTCTTCCTTCTTTTCCTTTTCGTCCTTCTTCTTCTTGCTCTTCTTCTTATCATCGACATCCATCCGGATGCGACCAGGCTCGACAGGGGAAAGCGACGAGCTGATTGAGTCTCTGGCGAGGTTTCTGGTTTTCGCGAGTCGTCGAGTCGCCCCGTAGCGCGATCGGTAGGGCCGGTAGGGGGGGTCAGCCGTGGTTTGCAAAGAGACATCCGATGCCAAGGGACTGCATGGGGAAGGCAGGGGAAAGTGAACGACAGCCATCAGGCAAGTCGCCATGTTGAAGCTCAGAAACAGTTCAAACATACCCTTGTGGTTCGTGTCGCCCGGTGCCAGACTATCCGCCGCCTTGGGCTTCTTCTTATTGGACCGCTTGCGGTCGTCCTCAGTCCGCACGTCCTCCTTCTCGACGACCTCGTCGACATGGTGCTTCCTCTGGACCGACAGATCGCGCATGGCCTTGTCGCAAAAGTTGGTGCGGCGGTCAATGACCTCCTGCAGGCGCGTCAGGCGGGCGATGAGGCCGTCGACGCTCTTGGCGTCGGGGACGGGGCTGCCGGGGGCGCCCGGGTCGACGAGGTCATCGTAGGTGATGTTACGGAACTGCTCGACGCGCAGGGCGAGGTACTCGGCGTCGATGGCCTCGATAGGCGGCAGGTTGGCGCCCGTGCCTGTCGCCCCTCCGCCAGCGCCTCCTGGACCTCCTCCTACTCCCCCCGCGGCGGGAGGCAGGGAGCTTGGGGTCGTGTTGCGGCTGCGCTGGCGGATGGCGCCCGCGCCGCTCTTCTTGCCGGTGCCCTTTTGGCTGGGGGCGGGCGGCATGGTCGCGGGTGAATGGTGTGTGTTGGAGGTGTGTGTGGTATATGTCGGCTCAGGATGGAAGTGATGGGGTTGTGGCGATGAGCCTGGCCATCTGTACGTAGGCCGTAGATGGAGACGCGTTCGATTGATGCTGGCTGGATGATTGATGTTGATGGTTCAGAGTCGACACTGGCTCCCACCCAGGTATAGAGACGACGGCGGGTCGGTAGCGCGACGTTGATCGACGGCAGGCGCATGGGGAGCAGGAGCACAATCCACCAGACGTGACGCTGTGGCGAAGGGGAAGAGAAGAGGGACCGACCAGGCAAGCCGGGGTACATTATGGGGTGGCTGGTGGCTGTTTGCAGCCACACGTTGCTCGCTACCTAGAGGTAGGTACCTACAAGTACAGTACCAGGTGCCTAGGTACCTACCCACCAGGTTTGCTGGGTACCTTACCTCCAGAGGTCACCTCATCGCCAGGAACTCCTCCTTACACTCACCCTGAACATCATGCACACTCCTATCAATGACATTCGCTACGCTCTGCATCATACTGCTATGGATACCGCTTACATCCTAACCCTTCTTGCAACGCTACATCAACACCCGCAAACTGAACCATCAACCAACACCGCGTCACTGGTAAATACAAACAGGAGTCCTGTTGGAATCCTCTCTCAGGACTGCTCGAACCGCTGCTAGGTTGATCGACTTCTCCGCCTCTTGCAACGTCTTGCGGACCTGAACGCCAGCTCGCTGCCGCATGCCTTCGCCATAGTCGTCCAGACTCTCTTCCTGCTTGGCTAGCCGTCTAGCAGTGGGCGTGGCGCCTGGTCGTGGCACCGTTGTGATGGCCCAGCACAGAGCATTGGCGTCTACCGTAGAATTGAGCAAGCCGCGTCCGCCGACTGTTGGCATCTTTGTCAGCCAGTTTTTCTTTCGCCGTCTCAAAAGGCACGCGAACTCACAGGGAAGCATGAGATGCGCTGCATCACCTGCTAGAGTGGCCAGCCCGCCGAGGTTGTCAAAGTCGACGGGGATCCAGCCCCGCACACTCCTGACGGTGAAGCGCCCCTGAGCATGCGGTTCACGCAGCGCCTCAATGTATGTCTTCCAAGGCTCCAAGTCCTGCAGAGCTGTTTTGCAGATCGACTGTGCCATGTACCGGCGAGCCTCGTTCCCAGTAAGGTCCAAGTCTCCCATCCCGTCATCGCCTGGCGGCACCGAGATTCGACTCAACTGGATCAGCTCGTGTGCCCTCTCCTCCGGCTCAACTTGCCACTGGTGTACGGCAATGGTTGTCAGTCCTTCCTTGTCCGACGCCATGGTCTGAATTGGGTGACGCTTTTGGACCAAGTCGGTGCCGTCCTTGCTCTTGGTCCGTATCATCAGGGCAATCTCCTCAACGTATGGAGTAAGAACTGGCTCGGGGTCTACGTGCTGAAACTTCTCGACAAGAAACCGACGAACCATGGAATCGGCTCCGTCGGCACCAACGACAATGTCAACCTTGTGACAGAGATGGCCAGGCTCAAAGATGAGGTGTACCTCTTTACTATCCTTGCTGGGCTGAAGACTGACCAGCGATGTATTCCACTGCACTGACAAATGTCCCCTCAGGGCTTTGAGCAGACGCAAACCGCGGTAGCGACAAATGTCTGGCACCTCGGCGTGAAAGAGCGTATCGCCAGTTTCGGCGTCGAGGCATGGAATAGGCTGATGTTTCAGCACCCCAGCAAGCGTGGGCGCAACACTGCAGGCCTCCATGACTGCATGGTAAATGTTCAAAGGAAGCAATCTCTCGATATTCGAGAGGAGCGCTTTACGGTCGGGCACTGACACGGACCAGTCGTGAACCACCGAGCGCTGCCATTCCTCAGGGGGAGGTCGCTCGTCCTAAATGTCAACCTCGACGCCCCCGTGCCGGCGCAGGCCATGGGCGAGCAGGAGTCCAGTGAAACCCGCTCCAATAATGCCGACGCGCAAGTCCCGAAGTTGCTCAGGTTTGTGCTTTGGAGGCGAAGACCTGGGGATTTCGGGCGGCGGCATTTTCTTTTGTGGCTTATTGGAGGACGGTCCAGCAGCCCACTTGTCCTCTTCTTGCAAGGCTGATAGCCAGGCTTGTATGGAGCTTTTTCTCACGGGTGCCCTGGGCTTGCATCTAGTGGCGGAGGGTGGTCGAAGTGGCGGTAGCGGGCCACCATAACCATCCAGCGCTGTAAAAGAGTGGCAGGTTGATCCATCGCTCCACTGGCCACAATCTTCGTCGACGTCTTCTGCTGGGTCTGTTGTTCGATCGGCAGAAGTGATCCAAGGAACTGATTTGCTGGATGACGTCCTCGTCGTCGTCCTCCCTCTCTCAACCAATTCATGGACATTTGTATCTTGTCGAGGCAGTGACAGAGGCCCCGGCATGTATGCAGGACTCGTGCTTCTCCAAGGGGGCTCCTGTTCTTCTCTAAATCAGCACAAGTTCAATACCGAGCCCGTAGCGATGCCACAGCAGCAAACGATTATTGCCAGAAACTCACCCGGCACACCATCGAGCACCGCTCCGAGGTTCAAGAAAGGCGGTTCGGCAAGAAATTCAGCAGCCGCCGTTCCCTTGCCAAAATCCGTGCGAAACCGGGTTGCCCTGAAGTCCCAATGAGTCTGGTGCCCAACCGCTGCATGCCAAAGGTGTGGGGGGGGGGGGGCATACCTCGGTCAGATACTGGACAGCCAGCTCCATGTCGAAGTTGGCTTCATGGAGAGCATCAGCGGCGTCGTCGTTGCTGAACCCCATGCCCTGAAGCTGTTTGAGGCGCTGGAAGTACTCGAGCTGGGGTATTTTCTCTGGCTCGTCGCTTGACATGGTGGGAGCGAGTAGTGAAAGATGTTTTTGAACAAGAGTAACCAGCGTAATCAAGCAACGAGTGACGGCAATCTGACCAAGTCAAGGCAGACTACGAGGCAAAGTATGTTGGTGTTGGTGAAGGGGTTGTCGTAGCCAGGTTTGAAAGACTCTGTGTTCACATCAAAGACCAAGCCTCAAATCTTGCCACTCGCTATATCAGTCACTCTTGCCCTGGTATCCGGACTTCACCAAATGGCAGGCCCTACCAAGAAGGCTGAACGATCATGTGGCGACCGGCATGTCCCCATTCAGAGGCCACTGCCATCATTGACCATCAAAGGTGCTTTCCCAAACCGGTCTTGCTTTAGCCAGCACATACATGGGCGAGTGGCCTGGGAACTTACATCTATCATGAGGTTATCCGAATCCAATCTCAGCAGAAATCCAGAGAAGAACCCGTTTCCGGCGTCTCACTGACCTAGCCACCATATACACATCGGTGGCTTCTCGATAAACAAAATCCTTGACATTCTTCATTCAATTCGTAACGTAGTGTCAGTTTAGTATCTCGCAACAAACCACTTCCTAAGACCTCTCAACCCCTACTCCTCACAATCCCAACACGTACCCTTCAAGACACCCATCCATCAGCAAAATGCGTGCTTTAGAGCGAGAAGCTCGTCACGTCCGATTGCGCGCCTCCCATCCTGTCCATCTCCGGTGTCGGCGGCGGCAGGTTCTCCGCCTTAGTCAAGATCCAGCACGACGCATACATGTTCACCCGATCGATGCAAGCACCGCCTTCGCGCGCTCCAACTCGCTTCGACGTGAAGCCGTGCGCCTCGAATGCCTTGACGTACCAGGGGTGGAGCGCCGATGACCGCAGCAGCACGCGGCCGCCCATGCGCAGAGCGCGGTTAAGCTTGGTGATCTGCTGGGCAGCCGCGGCGGCGCCTGGGTCGAACCAGTCCATGCTGTCCATAACGACGGCGACTGTCAGCGTGCCGGGCGTGATGCGCGAGATGACTTCGTCGAGCTCGTCAGTGTGGATCCGGAGGCCATCTAGGGCGCCCGGGCGAGAGAGGCGGGCGTGGGCCTTTTTCTGAGAGGTAGTCTGGGTGGCAGCGCTGCGTGAAGTTGGCGGTCATGCACACGTGGTAGTAAGGGTTGTCGACGGCGATGTGCGTCTGTTCCGCAACGGGGTCGAGAGTGTCGAGCATGTAGTGCCAGATAGCGTGGGATCGAGAGTCTCTAGCCTTGGGCGAGGGGCCTTTGACGGCATCACTGACAGCATGGTCGGCCTCTATCATGGCGAGCTGATTCTTGGGGACGCCCAGCGCAGACCATAGGAAGGACTCCTGTGAAACAACAAGGTTGCAGAGGAGCTTTGAGAGGAGCGCAGGTCGAATCTTGGTGCGCCATACCTCTCGCTGCTCGTTAAGGGTCTTGGTGTCAAGGAACTCAGCGACAGCACGCCTGACACCGAAGATGCGAGTGATCCAGCGGAAAACGCGAATCGCATGACGCGAGCCTCCAGTATCATAGAGACCGTAGCCACGCTTGTTGGTGAAAACGTGAATGTTCTGAAGCCAATACTGGAACGCACGAGAGGACAGGTGGGGAGAGAGCTTCGTCATGAGCAAGGTGCGGAAGTCAGGATGCTTGCCATCGCCAAAGAGTCTCCAAAAGTCTTCATAGGGAAGCGCGCAGTACGAGGCAACCTTGAGCTCGAGGAGGTGGTTCTGGGTGGGATTGAGGTCCACAGCGTGGATGCGAGCTGGGCTCTGCATGGCGTAGGAGAGAATGTTGTCTCCAGCGCTGGTGATGGCTAGGACGACATCGTCGGCACCGAGCTTTAGAAGACGCTCATCAACTCTCGTGTCTTCCCACGTGAACGCATAGATGTACTCGTCGTTGAATTGCTTGTGCTTCTGGAGCTGGTCGTCATAGTAGATGCGCCAGTGGTGGTTCTGGTAGAAGAATGATGGAAGGGGAAGATTGGCAGACAGATTTTGTATGGCGGCCATGAAAGCCTTGGATCGAATCTCGGGCGCAGATTTCTCAATCGCTCGAGTTAAGGCGTTACGCTGATCCACGGGGTAAAGCAGTGGTGACTCGGTTGCGAGCGCGTCGATTTTCTCGATGATTTCGTGAGGCAGCGCCGAGGAAGAGAAAGGCTTCTTGTGGCATCCAACCCAGACGTAGTAAGGGATGCGGCCAAGAGTCTTGTTGCGGGCATTAATGTTGAGGATGGTACCGAACTTGTACTCGAGATAATCCCTGCGAGCAGCTTCAAGTCCAACGCGATCAATATCAAACCAAGCACGCCAGAACGTCCGGGAAAGCCAGCTGACGTGGCGGTTCACAAGACCGCCGGTGAAATTGCGGAAGGAAAAGTCAACGTGTGACTGAACGTAGAAATCAACAACTCCTAGGACACCATTAGGGGACAGAAGAGAAGTCAGAGAGTCAATGACTGAGTGATAATCAGGCTTGAATGAATGTCAGCATCAGTGGCACGTCAAGCATACAGAACAACTTACGATCATAGACAGGCTGTAGGACATGGTGACAAGATCTGCGCCGCCATGCTCTGGGCGCTTCTGGGAGAAGTAGCTCAGGACAGGCGAACGGAGAGGAGTAGCGTTGATTGAAATTCCATCTTCATGGTCTTCCAGACGGAACTTTCTCGCGTCTTCGCAGATGACCTTGACGTTGTCCCAACCCAATCTCTGGAAACGCTTTCGCGCAACATCACAGAGAGATGGAGAGAAGTCGACAAGGTAGACGCTGGAGAAGAACTCGGGCACGTTCACATAAGCGGACATGGCCTCAATGTTCCAACCAGTCCCTCCACCAACCTGGAAAAATGCGTAAGCATGCAATGTGAGTGAAAGACACAACCAAGAGGCGTACGTCAACCCAGATTCGCTTCGTGTTTCCACGACGCTTGACTTTCGCCTCGCCCCTGCGTTTTTGGCTGAGAGCTGCGAAGCTTGAGAAGCGCCAGCATATCCTCCCGTCCCCTGGGAGGAGAACTTTTTCTGGTGGCATCATTAAGCGCCGGGCTTGCTTCTTGTAGAAGCTCTCAAGAGCATCCCTGTTGGGGTGCCTTTCTTGTCGCCGTTATGCGGTTTGATGAAACAGGAGTAGAAGAATAGAAGGAAGGACTTGAGCACGCTCGGCGGCTGGTCACTTCCTGAGGACTTGGAAAAGACCTTGGAGATGCAGACACTGCCAAAGATAGCAAAGGCAACTCCTGCAAGGATGTTCTGCAGACTGCCGTCTAACGCCAGTGTATTGTTACCACCAAGAGAAGCCATGGTACTCTCGCATTGCAGTGAGTACGAAAAAGGCGCGTTGATCAGTTGAGATAGAGGAAGACAGTTCGTATGAAAGGAAAAGAAAAAGAGAAACAAAAAAGGGGGGGTGTGAGAGGCGGGAGCTATATACACAGATGCGTGACCAGCGCGTATTGTCTGCCTCCTATACCTGTTGGGGGTGCACTCTGGAGGTACATGCGGACGAGACACCCCGCCGCGCGACGCGAGGACATGCTCCTGACAAAATACTCGCCAGTCTGAAGTACAGGGGCCTCGGTCGATCGTAGCAGGACGGAGATGTCCAAAGCCATGACCGGACCCTTACGTAGGGTAACTGGAGCTTCCCAGCTCTCACCCATCGTCATCAATGGTCGTCCGAAAGTCCCCTGTTACCCACCCCACCAAGGCTGGGCACCGCGACCCCGCCAAGTTCTGCATACAGTCTGGCGCCCATGTCTGGTGTCTGAGGTGGACCTCGAGTGTGGGCCAATGGCCAGAGCACATGGGCGATTCTTTGGGGGACTTAAGCATGGATGAGCCCTGCGATTCTCAAAGAGCCTCTTGCCCGCGGCACTGTCCATAGGTGTAGTACAGGTCCAGTGTAACACGCGTGGGATGTTGCAGCTCACCAGTTGTAGAGAAACTTTGGGAGGCCAGCAAGACGAAGGAAAACCTCTGACTTTAGAACGGGTCAGGCTGATTGCGTTTGAATGTCATTGGTTCTTGTTTCCTGCTCCGTCTATCGGTGGACAATCTTTGGCGGCCTTCTGAGGTCTTGTCTAGCTGTCAAGACTTCTCCCTCACAGCACGCACTCAATGAGCTCAAAGAGCGTGCTGGCGGCAGCTGCAGGGGTGAGGCCACAGCGAACACGCGGGGGATGGCCATCACCAATGGGGGCGGGTCCCTTGGCCACATGTCCCAGATGATAGCTTTCTGGATGTTCTCCACGCTAGGAAAACAACGTCTGAGATCGACGTTGAACTCTGGCGCAGATAAGCCGCTGGCTTCAACTCGAAACCACGTCGCCTGATTGCTGTGCGCTCACCACAGCCAACAGAGAAGACCACGCTTCTGGGGCTTTTGATGGGTCCAAGGGAAGCGGGAGACATCGGAACGGCGATGGGCCTTGAAGGTGAGTGAGATGCTTCCAAGGCAACGACGCTGGCTACCAAGGTCGTGTCTTGTTGGCCAATGCTGATCTCCTTCCTTCAGTAGCCATGTGCCTTGGAAGATCTCATGGAACCCAGATGCTGTCACATTGGAAAGACGCCATGGTGGTGTGAGTCTTCAAAGAGCTCATTCTGTTGAGGCGTAATCGGGACTGATCGACGAAACCACCTTGACAAGAGCTCTGTTGAATGTTGCCAGATGGAACCAGTTCGCAACGCAGGATGTAGGTAGCCTGTGAAGGGAAGATGCTGTGGAAAGGCTCTTGGGTTGAAAGCTCGCTCCGGGGTGAGTTACGGTGCACCGTCTTTAATACTGTGCCTGGGTGCCTGGCACTGTACGCGTTCCTGGCCTCTCGGAACGCTCAGGCTGTGCCAACTGCCAGTGGAACCCTGTGAGTACCCCGCGGCAGACAGGGCAGCCCCGCCTAATTGTTTGACCGCCCATCAAGTAGTGGACGAGGCTGCCTCGTATCTCGTGCAACCAAACATGCATCAAATTGTTGACAAACTCAGATACTCGAACGCGCTCTGATCCGCGTGCCCACAACTTCAGGAAGGCCTGTATTCCCCACAATCGTACTGACATCCTCAGCGCCACGGTGGCAGGCAGGCCACGTCGTGCTCGAACCGGGAAGCAACCATGAGCTTCGCGATAGAGGTGCCTGGGACCGCAAACCCCCTGACTCTGCAGGAACTCTGCAGAGCCCTCGAATCGGCGACAGGTGCAGACCATGCCCAGAGGCAGACGTCAGGCCAGCAGCTAGAGTCTTGGGAAAAGCAAACCGGCTACTACTCTTCTTTGCAAGCAAGCTCCCCCTAAACCCTTTTGCACGTGGGAGCAACGGCTAACCTTTACCCTGCAGTCGATCTTCCTTGACAAGTCCCTACCCCGGCAGATTCGGTTCCTTGCTGTGATCCAGCTCAAGAACGGCATCGACAAATACTGGCGGATCGCTCACACAAGCAAGGGTGGCCTCAGTCTCGACGAAAAGAATCTCATTCGCCAGAAACTCTTTCAAGGCACCCTCGACGAGGAGGATGAGGCACTTGCCCGCCAGAACTCTCTTGCTGCGGCAAGAATTGTTAGGATCGACTATCCCCGTCAATGGCCCGAAGCGCTCCCGAGCCTCATTGCTCTGTTGCGATCTTCTCGAACGGGCCAGCCGCAACATCTCCATGGCACCCTGCAGATCCTCCTCCAAGTGGTCAAGGAGATGAGCACTGCACGTCTTCGTAGCGCCCAAACCGCCCTCCACTCTATTACACCTGAAATGCATATGTGCTGGAGAGATCTATGCAGAAAGGACACCGGTTTGGGTCGACTTCTAACCGGTGTAAAGGGCCAGGATGGCGCCTCCGAAGCAGACATTGCTATTCGCATTACCCTACTCACCCTGAAAGTCATCCGTCGGCTTCTTATCTCTGGCTTTGAGGCCCCACATAAGGACAAGACCGTGCAACAGTTTTGGACTCTATCCCAAAATCACTTCGGTCAGTTCCTCGGCTTTGTCAGCCAGGAGTCTGCTGTCCCGGAGTCGTATCAAGAACTCGTCGGGAAGCATCTCCTGCAGTTTACGAAGTTGCACATGGAAATGGCCACATCGCAGCCGACGTCATTCGCAGGCCTACCAAGTTCTCTTCCGCTTATCCACGCATACTGGGATCTGGTTGCCAAGTTCGCCGAGGTGTTCGACAAGTCAGAAGGCATCCGGCAGTCAAGCGGAGACGCAAAGTCCAAGGCCGAAGGACCGCTGCTCGAAAAGCTCACAACGCGTGCATTGTTGCTGATCAAGGCCTGTCTCGACCTGGCTTTCCTTCCAAAACATACTTTCGTCTATCGGGGTCCAGAAGCTAAGAAAGAAGAGCACGAAGCGGTCGAGTTTATCAAGAATGAGCTGTTCAAGGATGAATTCTGCCTGCAGATCGCAAACACTATTCTCACGCATCTTTTCGTCTTCCGCCAGTCAGATCTCGAGGCCTGGGACGAAGATCCGGAAGAGTGGGAGCATCAGGAGAGATTCGACAGTTCAGCGTACGAGTGGGAAGTGCGCCCTGCCGCTGAGAGAGTGTTCCTGGGCCTCTTGAACCAAAGGAAGACCCTACTCGTACCTCATCTGCTGTCGTATATCCAAACGGCTACTGGCGGACAGGCTGATTTTGCCACCAAGGACGCGGTGTATACGGCCATGGGCCTGGCTTCCCAACATATCTTCCAAGAGGTTGACTTCAACAGCTTCTTGACATCTACCCTGGTCCCCGATGCCCAACAGACTGGTCCTTTGGCGAAGGTGCTGAGGCGGCGGATATCCATGCTCCTGGGACAGTGGGTGTTCCACAACGTGTCAAACGAAAGCCGCGCCATCGTGTATGGCATCTTCCGTCACTTCATGGACCCCAACGCCGAGGGCAACGACATTGTCGTGCTGATTTCGGCTGCCCGAAACCTACAGATGATTGTGGACGAGCTCGACTTTAGCGTCGACAACTTTGTGCCGCATGCCCCTCACGTCCTGGAACAACTTACCCAACTCATCCGAAACGTCAGCGTTGATGAGACGCGACTCGCCCTCTTGGAGACGATGAGACTGGTAGTGACGAGGTTGGAAGCCCATGTCACACCGTTTGCTGATTCCATCGTGGGCGCCATCGTACAGGTCTTCCAAGTCGTTGGCAACCAGGAATTTATGGCGAAGACTGCCATCGTTGCCGTCTTCAGCGCTCTCGTCACATCGATGGGCACCGAATCGCAGCGATTCCACCCCTTGATGGTGCCACTTATCACAGAAGTCGCGCACCCGACATCCGAGCTCCACACCTCTCTCATTGACGACGTGCTTGACCTCTGGAACTCTATCCTGTCGCAGAGCAACCCACCCGTCTCCACGGAGATTGTCAGTATTGCCCCCTTGCTGCTCCCGATCCTGGAGTACAGCCCCGAGACGGCCGGCATGGCGCTAGAAGCGGTCGAGGCGTACATTATTCTTGCGCCTGGGGCCGTGTTGGAGGACACACTGCGTCGTCCCTTCTTGACTGCGCTCTCGGGTGCGCTCGAGGTCAAGAGCAGGGAGCAGGTCAATGCCGCGACGGGATGCATCGAGTACCTCATCAGGGCGGCCGAGGAGTACGGCGGTGCGAACGGCGTGTCGGTGGTTATCCAAGACATGCTCGAGACGGGCTTCTTGAAAAAGATCCTCGAGAGGCTCCACGACGCGTGGGAGGCTCACCAGACGACCGGTCCTAACAAGAAGTCCCCCAAGCTCAACACAGTTACCGAGGGCGACTACTTTGCTATTCTCGCGCGCCTCGCCTATGCTGACCCGACACTCTTCGTCAACATGCTGGCGTCGTTTGGCGACGTGCAGCAACAGGTGTGGCCCTGGCTAACGACCGAGTGGTTCTTCTACATGGAGAGCTGGGACCGCATCGAGCACAAGAAGCTGACGCTGCTGGGCCTCACGCGTCTGACGGAGCTGCCGAACCCCGTCCAGGACCTGGCACTCGGCAAGCTGCAGGACTACATGAGCCTGTGGGCTGACACGATAGCGGAACTGCAGGACGGTGCTGTCAACGGATCTGACAACCTCGTCTGGGGCGAGCAGGAGGGCGACGAGTGGGACACACCCAAGAGCATCCGCGCCCGGGAGCTCTACCAGAGCGACCCGCTGCACCGTGTCGTGGCGAAGCAGTTTGTCATGGAGAGGGTCCGGGATCTCGTACAGCGGGCGGGAGGCGAGCAGAAGTTTCAGGACGAATGGATGGTCAACGTGGATAAGGAGGTGGTGCAGAAGTTTGCGCAGTTTGTGAGCTCATGATAGATGCCAGCTACAGGTTTGCTGCGCTGAGGCCAGGGACTGGATTAAGGAAAAGGGGGGTGAACGAGCGAGATGGCATGAATAGATGACATGAATGATATGATTTGACTGTAAACTCGCTTTCGCATGAGGGACTGTTCAGACTGCCAGGTCCAGGTAGGTACAATCAAGGAGACTGTTCACTACCCCAAGAAAAAAGTTAGCCACAGATGGATTCGAACCACCGTCTCCTGGGAAGAGTAATGATGCTGTTAGGTCTTCGTGGTCGGGCTAGGAGGGAAAGAAACCAGGCGCTCTACCACTGAGCTATGCGGCTGTGTGTTGTTGATTGTTGACCTGGCCGCCTGGTTGTCGGGAAGAAGAAGGGCAGGACGCGTTCTTCGCGTGCTGTCTGGCAGGAGACGTCAAATAAACCAAGTGGGACACGGGCCTACACGCACAGAATCGCGGGGCTCTTGCATACTCATCACACCGGGCACACATTTCATCCAATTCGATACATTCGTCCACCGTCCACTACACATCAGATCTACAGCTTGCTCTTCTGCTCCCCCTCCTGCGGCACCTTGACGACAACCTTGCCCCATGTCCCCCTGCTGCCGAGCGCCGTCAGCGCAGCCGGCACCCTCTCGAGGCCGTCGTAGCGCTCGTCGGAGAACTCGGTGCCGCGCATCTTGCCGTCCTTG